ATCATAGGTTAAACCCAGGAAAATATCAATGTGTAAGAGGTTGATGGAGGAAAAGGAATTGAACCATGATGAAAAGAAAAGGCCTTTTTTCTCATAGGAGAAAAGTGAAGTGATAGGAACCCAAAGAAGAAATGAATCTCAGATGGTAAGTTGTGTCAGAGATCACAAATCAACTAAGAAGAGAAAAAACAAAAAATGAAAAGAGCTTTAACCCTTTATAATAGAGACCAGTAGTACTTTCACACCATTGTTTCTAATATGAATGTTTGATTGTATTTGTCAGACAATATTCCTGTGTAAGATTTTTTTGAGCTAAACTTATCTTTAATATCTCTGGAATTTTGTTTGCAGTTATTTTGTTTTATTTTTTAATTCAGTCAATATTGTATTTAGGAAATGTTTTATTATAAATAAAATAGTGCAGTTATTGAGAGCACCTATATCTTCTCTATGCATTCCTGCTAATATACACAATTTCTAGTCTAAAGTGACTTCAAACCAATATTTGTTGGATAAAAAGCCATTCTAAAATTTTTATAATTGCCAAAAAATTATTATGACTACCTATATTTTTCAATTAATTCCTTTATTTGGAGCAATATTTATAAAATAAAAAGTAATGTTTTATTTATTTAATTTTAATATATGATGCAAATTACCCCTACCTTATTATAATTTTTCAAAATGAAACATTACATTTAATGCTACTTATCAGTTACTTAGATAATTTCTTCTCTGCATTGTTTGTGGTTTGGGGAAGAGGTAAATGTGATCCATAAAAGTAAATTTAATATTTGAAATGTGGAATCCAATTCCAGATATTGAATTTAAATTTTAAGAGCTTTTAGGGAATATATTTTAGTAAAACAGTGAAGTTGAAGCAATTGAAAATTATAATAAAATTAATATTTCAAGATTTTTAAAAATGATGGATTCATCATTGCAATCCACATATGGTTAAGGATGACTGTACAGTGTGCAGTAATGTACACTGGATAAAGGTCAGGGGAACATATGTGAAATAAATTAGACCCATGCACAAGCCAGATCTTAAATGTTTTCAAATCCATGAAAGTTTACTTTTGTTTTTCCTATTTTAAAATGTTCTTTGAAAGTAGAAACTGAAAGCTCTATCTGGTAGTCAAAGATATGCCTAAATCACCAAAAAAAAAAAAAAAAAAAAAAAGAGTCACACTTTAAACTAGAACAGAACTCTGTCAACTCTTTCTCTTACAGAAAATAAATGAAAACAGAAGCTCATACTTGTTCTCAGTTCTTTAACAAAGGGAACAAAATCTTTGAAATAGTCTCTGGTTGTAGTGTTTCATAATCATACTATTTTTTTAACTTCTAAAACATCAGGAAGTTCTATCAAGGAATGTCTGCCTAGTCTGCAGTCTTACTTAAGACAGTGGGTCTTGGGAGAAAAGCACACAGAAACTCCACCTTCTCTAAAACTTATATATTAAATTGGAAACAYATAGTGCATACATACATACATCTTTACAGATTCATCTATGCATCCCTGCTTTTTACTACTTGTAAAAAATCAACACTGGGATCAACAGAATAATCTCTCCTTTCTTTCCTGATCTCATTTTCTCCACAACAGGTTTCCATGACAACTTATATTTGAATATTTTTGAAAATTCTATTTTTGAGTACTATTCTTAAGTATAAGAATCATAAGTATAAAATATAAACTTTTTTTACCAAATTAACTAGAACAATTTACACCTCTCAAATATGTATTTACACCATAAATTAAAAGCCATAGAAGAAGATATGCCAACTACCAAAAGGCAAAAATTCAGTTTTGTAGAGCTGAAGTAAATATCCAGTTCCTATCACTAGTGTTTTAATTTGACAGTTTAAGTCATGAAATTTAGAAATAAAATACACCTATTTTATAACTAAATGAATCTTCTTTTCAATATTGGGAAAAGATAAAGAAAATAAAGAAACATACAWCAATTAAAAAAGTAATTCAGACTGTTAATATTGTTCATTCAAGTGTTTCAATAAAAGATAAGCTAATGTAAAGAAAAGTTTTTAAAAGTTTATAAAAGTGTAAATACATGAATTTTATTGAGAATGAAACTTGTAGCCAGGCACAGTGATGCACGCCTGTAATCCCAATGGCTCTGGAGGCTGAGGCAGGACGGTCAGGAGTTCAAAGCCAGCCTCAGCAATGGCAGGCACTAAGTAACTCAGTGAGACCCTGTCTCTAAATAAAATACAAAATAGGGCTGGGGATGTGGCTCAGTGTCTAGTGAAGAAAAAAAAAGGATGAAACTGGTGTCAGTAAGCCTGTAGTTGAAGCAAACCACTTGAAAATTGATTTATGTTTCCTAGAATCATGTTCATGAAAAGTATAATTTCATCCCATGACCTCCCAATGTAATTCTATTTATCAAAGTAGTCAGATAACATTAAGCCAGATCATCTGAACTGCAAGTGATGATATGAAATATATTAATTCACTCTTAAATAGAATGATGTCTTATGATTTAGACAACTCTCTGGTAATTTGAAAAAGGATATCCTGAAGACAAAACCCACAAAGGAAAGCAAAACATTAAACAGACTAGTCAATAAAAATGGAAATTTCAAAGAGGGTTCATTTTAAGAAGTTTAATCAAATCCCATATATTGATTCTATTGTTGGGTAGCACAAATAAAAATTTCATCAAACTTCTAGAATACTATTTTTAAAAATTATAGTTTTCCAAAGTTTGAACTCTAGTGAATATGTCATGTGCCAATCAAAACAGCAATACCGTCTGCAGAGATTTCACAATTCAGTCAGTTATCATCAATGGTTTTGGTAGAAAGAGCCTGGAAAGGGCATCATGAGACCTCTTGAATAAATTTGATTCTGCTATTAATTTGATATCTGATGTTGGCCATCACTTAGCATCTGAGCCTTCATTTACCTCATCTACAAAACAAAAATAACTTATTTAAAGGTGACGAGGTGGCTTTGAAAACATTTTTCAGGTTAGTGATTTTTAGCTGATTTTGCTTCCACTTGATTTGTAATCTGTGTTAATCTCTAATTTATGTCCTTTCCTCATCTAAAATAGATGCAGGCCAAATCCTCAATATAATTACATTAAAATCTAAGTAAGATTTTTTAAAAACAAACTATTTTCAAGTCAACGGTGTACACTGTTGATCAATAATCAATAGAGTTAAACTCCACAGCAATGATAAAGCTGAACACCTATATAACTTGATGACAACAAAATATAACATAAAACTTGAGAATATCGTGTTATTTTATGAGGAAGGATAATAAAACATTCCATCTTTTTTATAGCACACAATCTGGAGAAGAAGGAAAAAAAAAAAACATGATGAGCCTGAAAACAAATTCAGATTATCTTTTTAACAACCAAGTGAAAAGAACACCGTAATACTCATCTGGAAACCAAACAACACTGATAAAAAGGTCATGAGCCTGTGATTTACTTTAAATAAATATATACATTTTTCTGAATGCAAACTGTTGTTGTTGAGTTTAAAGGATGGTCTTAAAAGAAAGATTTCAAAATTGTATTAATCCTAAATTCAAATTTGAGAATGTAGACATGCTAGAATTTGTGTATGCATTCAATTACCAGACCCAAGAAAGTAACAATGTTTTAAATTGTCTCTTTTATATTCTACTTTTCACTAAAAACAAAACACATCTGAAGACTTCCAAAGTGGTATCAAAAGTACATTTTCTGACATGTTAGTGGATAGACAGCTTCATAATATTCAAGATGCAGGAATTTCTGACATGTAGAGAAAGACAATAATTAGGAGAGAGCCAAAGTAAAGCTGGGAAAATTCCCATTCTGCCCAAGGGGGTGTCTTTTCTGGGTAAACCAGACACAAGCAATTGTAAAGATTTAAGTAAGTACAGTACTCTGTTCTCATATATAATTAAAAACCATTACATACTGTATAATTTCTGGATATTTATATTTCTTTTATTTCCTTTAAACTGCAGAAATCATTATTGGTTACTTTTATAAGAAATCATTATTGGTTACTTTTATAGTCCCTTCATGGGATTTTGAAGAATTAATTGGGAGTGTCAAGGACTAAATATAAGCTGTCATGTAACCTAGAAACAAAAAAAAAAAAAAGAAGAAGAAGGAGGAGGAGGAGGAGGAGGAGGAAGAGGAGGAGGAGGAGGAGGAGGAGAAGACTTGAGGCTAGGATCACAATACAAAAAGTAAAGTAAAGTTTCCTACAATCTAAATCACTCAGACCTAGAAAATAGGATCTTCAAAGTGAGTATTTAGGTGCAACCTATAAGGAACTTAGATATCACCCAGGAGGAAAGGCACGAGATGTAAAGCTTCAGTGAGCAGGTGGGCTTTCTCAGAGGTCAACTCACTGAGGTAAGTAATCCCAATACCAAATTCTTCTCCTTTTGAAGAGACAGGTTAGACGGTATTGTCTTCACAAGATAAATCTCTAGTATTCCCTCCCTCCACCCCAGTCACATACATATATTCCATTTCCCCTTCCTCTGTCCTCAGATTAGATCTCTAATTAGAGCCACTGCCCTGGGTGAGTCAGATATGAAAGGGTCAGGGTCACTGAAAAATGTCACATCAGGATGACCAGGAAATTAGAGACATCCAAGCTAAAGAGAAAAGTTGGAAGAAAAGAATGAGGGAAAACACTCAAGGTGAAGGTGATACTAGTTGGAGGACAAAGTTCCAGAATTGTACAGAGAAGTCTGCATGTGCCCTTTAGGTCCCATCTACTAAAGTGAATCTCAGTGTGAGTTAGGAGAAGAGGAGTGGAATGGTGGGGAAGGTGGGAAGATAGGGCTCAGGGTCCCTGGGCTTACCCTACCCCAAATGAACTTAAAAAAACTCATCTCTAGGGAGCCCCTCTTCTCTCTACCCCTCATCCCAGAGGCCTTTGGTGGAAAAGARCAGAAGTTGGAAAGGGAATTGGGGGAAGCAGCTGGGAAGGGTCAATTCTGGCCTTACCCTGGCAGCTCTGGATGAGTAGGGGTCCTCAAAGAGGGCCCACATGCGGGGCTGCAGCCTCCTCCAGCGGCCAGATTTGCCGTCAGGTCCCCCAAGCCCTGCCGCGTCCTCGATTCCTAGCCTCTTGGCCGCCAGGTCCTCGTCGTCGCCAGGGTCGCCACCGATGAGGTCAGGAGTCTCAAAGATGTCCAGCGCCTCTTCTGCGTCGCGGTGCTGCCGGTAGGTCATCCAGCAGCAAGGCTCCACGTCGGTCTCGTCGATGCCCCAGAAGGCCAGCTCCTCCTCGAAGAGTGGCCCGCACACGTCGGCGGGGCAGTGCAGCTTGCCTGTGCGGTAGTAATTGAGCACATAGGCAAAGACTCCTGGATGCCGGTCAAAGAAGAACTCGCGGCCGCCTGCAGGGTGGTCGCTGCCGCCGCCGCTGCCGCCGTGGGAACTGCAGTTGCCCGCGCCGCCCTCGAAGCAGCCACCGGGTCCCGGGGACAACGGAGGCGGTCGCGGCGGCGGCGAGAGCGGAGGGGGCAAGGGCTGCAGCTTGTCACCAGCCGCGGTCAGGCAGTCGCCCTGGGGCTCCGAGGCGGCGAGAAGAGCCAGGCGCGTTCCTGGCAGGGTCTTGAGGGTGCTGCGGTAGGTTTCGTGCCGGGTGCCCCCGACATTGAGGATCACCCTCTCGTTGTTCTCGATCTTGCCCATCTCTGTGGCTCAGACATGACTGGGGGAGGCGAACACAGCGCCAAGTTAAAGATCTCGCTGTCAGAGACACACCATGACCCCCACCCCCACACCAACCCAAGAGTCCCAAGATGCAGAGTTAGCAAACAGGCAAGGGGCAAAGGACCTTCCCAAGAGAGAAGCATCCAGCCCTGTCCCCGCCTCTTGCATCACACCTTTCCCAGATTTCCAGCGAAGGAAGATAGCAGTAAAAGTGTTTCTTGACCTTCCATGAAACCTTTCTCCCTGCCTCACACCTTATTCCCTGGGCTCTAATCTCTCCTTCAGTTTTTCATCCTCCACCCTCCCACCCCTTCATCCCCTGTCAATTTTAACCTACCCTGAGTCCCTAAATCCCTCCTCCCTCTCCAGACCCCCCACGCGCTCACACACACTTTCCTAAATCCTCTTTCTCTCCCTTGGATACCCCCATTATTTCCCCCTCCCTTGGATGGTCCCTCCCTTCCCTCTCCTAGATCCCCTCTCTCCTCCTCCACTAGCCTAGATGTAATTCCTTTAGGCAAGGAGTTCTCTCCCCCAAGGCTACTTGACAGTGTGGGGTGAGGGCCCCTGGGACCCTGCGGAGAGTCCCTATTTCCTGCATACCCTTGGTCAACCCTGCACCGCTGCTCCCTAGCTAGCACTCAGGGAGTGCCCTTTGAGCGACCTGTTCTTGGTTCACTCCTGCTTTCCCTCACAGACCAGGCAAAAAGACTGAACGCAGAAGTCAGAGCAGAAAAATATTCCCTGCTGTTGTCTTTTGCCGAGGTGCCTTACTAATTTCCTTATCCAATTTCCTTTTCACATTAYTGTTGTTGTTATTGTTGTTAATGTTATTATTACTTGGGAAAGGAAACGACTAACTAGGATCCATCTTTGAGAATACAAGTGAGCAATGCCTCCCACCCCTCCCCCCTCTCAAGAAAAACAAATGCTTGGGGGTGGAGAGTAGGGGATTAGCGTTCTAGGAGGGGCAAGGCCCAGGGAAAAGCCCCCGGAGGCACACCCCCTGGATCCGAGAGCTGGAAGTCTGGCTGACAGTGCCCGGGTTTCCAGCCTTTCAGCTACCTCTCCCCAGCGCTCCATCTCTCTACATTCTTATTGCCTAAAGACCTGGGGGGTAGGGATGCCCGCCTGCGGGGTCAACATGCCCTTCCCAGGAAATCACCCCATTATCCCCTCCTCATCCACAGATACCTTAACAAAACCGAGAGAAAAGTGGTTCTGCTTTGGTTTCAGAAGGGACGAGGTTCTCCGGGCAGCCGGACCCAGTCTTGGTGGCCAGCTGAGCCTCCCTTCTCCGAGGAGAAACTACTTGTTGGCGTTTTCTGGGTTCAGGTGGTAGGGCCGCTTCTCTGGGCGCTGAGGTCGGGGAGACAGCCCCAGCCGGCCGCCGGCCGCGCTCCCCGCCTTCATTCTGTGATCTGTGGGTTCGCCCATCGCCAACCTCCGCGCCCAGAGTCACCATCGCGCAGGGCTGGGCAAACCATGAGCTCGGGGCGGGTCCAGCGGGCGCTGCCCGATCCCGCCGGGAACGGACAGATCGGCTGGTGGCGACAGGAGTGAGGATTGGCCGGAGGTCAGGAGAGCTCACCCACGCGAAGGTGAAGGCGCCCAGCTTGGATTTTGATGTGCAGGTTTTTGTTTCTCCCCCAAAGCAGCGGCTGCTGGAGCTGTCCCTTCAGCACCACGCGCCGTCAGCCTCCAGCCGCCACTCTACCCACACGGATCCTGAAAGGGTGGGTGGGTGGGTCTGGGGAAGCTCTGTTGTACCAACCAGGTTCATATGTTTTTCTTCCGAGAAGCTCTGTCCTCGCCCTCTCTGGGGCTTCTGACTGCTTTATTTACACACCACTGTCCACACCCTTTATCTCCCCAGTGCCCCACCCCTCCCAACAAGTGAGAGAATTTAAAACCCATTGCATTTTCTTCTTAATGACAACTAATTGGAGAGAGAAGTCTACTTATAGGTGACAATGATTCTTGTTTCTTATGCCTTGTACCCGGCTTTGGCTTGCTTTTTTCAGTCAAATGTAAGGAAGGTCTCCAGAGACCACTTCATGGTTATATAAAGCAAAAYAAGTTGTAAAAGTTTATTCTAGGAATGCGATGCTCTAGAGTGCAACTTTAGGTTTCTTTGTCATGAGCTAAAGACCTGAGCTGTACATACCCCAATACCAGAGTAATTCTCTAACAACCCAATTTCTCCCTAAGTTTCTAATGTGCCTTGTTTTAGTTTGCTAATACTGTCATAAATAAGCACATAAATTGGTGGCATAAACAGAAGGAATTTATTAGTTATGGAGGCTGGAGGTCCAAAATTAAGGTATTGTCAGGGTCAGTTCCTAATGAACACTGTGAGAAAAAAATCTGTTCTAGGACTCTTTCATTGGCTTATAGATGGCCATCTTCTCTGTGCATGTTTTCTGTGTCCAAATTTTCCATTTTTATAAGGATAGCACTCATAATAGACTTAGGTGCACACTAGTGACCTCACCTTAACTTGGTCACCATTATAAAGACTCTCTCTGCAAATAAGGTCACTTTCTGAATACTGTAGGTTAGAACTCCAACATATCTCTTCTTCAAGGTTGAGGGAACATAATTCAACCTATAATAGGCCTCACCTCTAAATACAGAGCATATGCATATTGTGTGTCTATTTAGAAAGAAGTAATAGAGAGAGAGCCCTATTTTACAATTTCACAGCCATAGTATGTTAGGATTATGTCTATCAAGTAGAAAAATCACCAGGAAGTAAATGGAAAATGATGTTTTTGAAAAACAAGTATTAATATTGATACCATTGTTTGGGAAGAGCAAGAGTTATCAGTTATTAAGAAAGTTTTAGAACTATAAAAGACTATGAGGTAGGTGTGAAATATCAGCAATTCACTGAATAAAACACCTATTTGTTATGACATGTTACATGATTAAACAAATCAAAGAACTAAAGCATCATTGGAAGGTCATTGATACTTAGGAAAGAAATATGAGAAAATATGATACGTACTCAGTTATAAGAAAATCATTGGCAATATGACAATAAATTCATAATAATGTAAATAACAATATGAATGTAAATAAGAACTCAGAATTTCAATTATTAATACATATACAAAAACATAAACTGGAATACTGATGGAATGACTTTAATTTGCAAAATTATCAATCACTGAGGAATTTCTAAAAATACCAGTGATATTAATTTTCAATTGCTAGCAGAATTACAAAAAAGAATTATTTCCAAATTCTAACATGCATTCTCCTATTCTCTAGATATATATTCATATATTTCTTAATGTTATAAATTTGGTAGAAAAGGGGGGCAAGTAGTTTGATTTAAAAATAAATGTAGTGCAAACCTGTATGTAATCCCAGTGATCCAGAGACTGAGGCAGGAGGATGGAAAATTTGAGTCCAGCCTTGGAAATTTATCAAGCTCCTGGCTCAAAATTTTTTTAAAAAATTAAAATGCCTGGGGATGTACATCAATGGTAAAGTGCCCTGGGATTTAATCCCTAGTAACAACAACAACAACAAAGATATAAATTAACAATAGTAAAGTAGCAATACAGTATTTATGATAATTATATATTTACTGATATACTATATGTAAAATACTTTTACATAAATTATCCTTTTAATTTAAATGGGGAAAGTTTTCACATTAAATTTCAAGACTATAGAAAGGTAACTCATATGGGTTACAGAAAACACTAAAGAAATCCTATAGTTTTATAATATTAAGTTGCATTATAAGGGATATATGGAGAATCAAAAGGAACGGAGAAACTGATGTCAAGAGCTCATGAGGAGAGAAATAAAAACCTAATTTGGGTCTAAGATTATTTAAGCTATCTAGAAATGATCACATTGATGGCAGGATCATCTTTCAGAAAAACTCAGACTTTTCTTGTGATTCATAATGGATCAGATGTGAAATTAGAGAACATGATAGCTAAGTTTGAAAATAAGAATGTGGGAAGATAAAAGGAGGAGATGTACATGTCAAGGCAGGATTGATACACAAAGCAATGAATGAAATACTGTCTCTTCTATTTTATTTTTTTCTGGTCAATTCAAGAGGGGAAGATCCTAAGAAAAATATCCAGGTTTCATTATATAAGACAGGAGAGAATAAAAAAAACCCTCTAGTCAACTGCTGCAAAATTTAGATAAAAATGAAAAGAATACAAAGCTTTGAAAGATGGTGTTGAAAAACTGAGGAGAAAAAAAATAGTTGTGGCTCCTTTGTGGCCTGCATGGAGCCAAGATTCAAAAGACTGTATGGACACTACCCCTTGCAGAGAAGAAGTAGAATGTAGTTTTCCTCATTTCCAGAGTCGGCATCACAGAAGATTGTAGAAAAGGAACACTGCATCATCATCAGAAGCAAGGTCTGATTTCCGAAGCTGTACTGTGATTCTAAACGCTAGCCTCATAAAAGTGTAATATTTGAATGAATTAACTCACTTGAAATCTAGCATAAGAATTCTAAAATATTTTACCCTTATAAATCAATATACTCATAAACAAAATTCCTCCCCACTATGTTAAAAATGATCATAATTTCCTATCTTTTAGATATAAAACTAGACCAATTAGTACCTATTCCATGGAAGTGAATCTTAACTGAAACTTAAGAATCCTTGCAATAAATCTGCATTCTTCTCAAGAAATTTTCACTTAAAAACATGGCTTAACCATGTTTTAGTGACCTAGTTTGTTATTTTTGTCTGTTTTAAGCTAATTTAACAGAATGTCTGAGACTGAGTAATTTATGAAATACAGAAATTTATTCTCTCACAGTTCTGGATGGGGAATTTCAAAATGAAGGTGCCAACATATGAGATGGGCCCACTTACTGCGTCTTCACATAGCAGGAGAGCAGAAGAGAAAGAATCTACTCCCTTAAATCCTTAATATCATATCCTCACAATCTGAACACCTCCCAAAAGGCCTCACCTCCCAAGGCAACCACACTGGGGAAAGAAAATTCAACACATTAATTTAGGATGACATGTTCAAACCATAGCATTTATGCAGTACACTTTTTTCTTACCCAAACTAATTACTTGTGATGATTATGATAAAATAGACTCACATATGATGAATTCATACCCTACAAATTCTACAGCCTGTCAATTGATTTGTAAGAAGTACTTGTTGCATTGGTTGTCAAGAACTAGAGGCTCTGAATAAGGATCTAACATAATGTACATAGTTAGCCAATTTGAGTTTACTGTATACTTGGAAAATGAGTGTTCATGAGTACTGAGAAAAGGCATTTTAGGTTGAAGGAAGAAAAAAAAAGCCTCAGTGTATATAGGGTGATGCTAACTGATAAGTATTTAAAAATGGGAGCTGAAAATAACCTTCTTTTGATGAAAAATTTTAGATCATATTCTTCTGTACCAGCCATTCATTTAAACAGATGACAGCCAGATAAAAGGTAATAGATAAACTTGAGTAGGTGGAGCAACTCATTATTAACATCACAGTATTTTAAAGTCACTATGACTTACAAAGAGGAAAATAATCAGTAATTTTTCCTAGAGTGGTAGCCCTACCACTAAGGTTAAATTATTGGCAGATTATCAATGAAGTGAACTCTAATTTCTTATTGTCCTTGTTCCTGAATAGGTCATGGATTCTACAGAAAACACCTGACAAAAATTTGATGATCCACCCTTTTAGTACTTTCGTGGTTTCCACTCTTAATTAATTCATATGTTTATGACTTACTCTACTACATCATACATTCTTACAGTTCCTCTCTCTTCACTTTTTCTTTATGACCTCCCATTTGTTCTGTGCTTTAAAGGCCAGCAGACTCCCCTGAGAAGTTTTTTTAAACTGCTATATCTACGATGTGATTCTGATTCAGTTCATTTTGTGCAAAAGGTTGTAAATCGGTGTTTTCAAAAAGCATCCTGTATTTCATGAAACATTATCTATAGGAAGTTGAATTGAAGCAAATGTTTATGAAAATATGGCAAGACATGAGCTGAATATTCCATCTGCAGAATATATTAGGGTGGAGTGGGCCAGGAAGAGAACTAACTTCTATTAAGGACAAACTATTATGCCAATTACTATCTCTCTTTTAATCTATTTATCTGTATGTATGTATAGATAAATGTATATAAAGGCATATATGGTTTTATTACTTGTTAAAATAAGTCCACCAAGGAAGTATTAAAATAGCCAGTTTTTTTCTGTATTTGGCAAATGGTTGAAGGGAAAAGTATTAGTAATTGCAGCTGTCAAAACTTACCTAAGTGATTAAGTGCAAATTAAAAGGTAAAAAATTTGGTTTTAAATCACTTAATCCTCAACCTATCATTTTTACCAACATTTTATTTATGGGGATACTGAGATTGAAATTTTAAAATAACTTCCCCAAGTTGGCATAATTAATAAAAGACAGCTGGTACCATTCAAGCCCACAGGTGTTTATTCCGATGTCTGTGTCCTGGTCAGAGAATAAATAGTAAAACCATGATTTGAATATGTAGAACATAATTTGAATAGGAATTAGAAGATAATAGATATGACAAAAAGTAAATAACCAACTTGATGTATCACAATTGTTTAGTGAATTGAAAAAACCCATTGTCAAAATAACTCAGAATTCCATCTCCTCCCTCTGTCTAATAAACAAACAACAGCAATCAAAATAGGCAAGTAAAGAAATTTTWAAAAAAACTTTGAATTTGTTTAGTACAAGAGGAGAAG